AGCGTTCGATCGAGTTTTTTTTTCGGAAGGCAGGGAGAAAGAGGGCTAGAAAAATATTTTGTCGCAAATTGCAGAAACAATGCGAAACACAAATAGATTGGATCGATTAAAAGTTCTCTTTCAACGATGCGTGAAATTTAGAAGCGATTATAGCGTGCGTTGTAAATCTTTGTTTAATTCGAAGATATTTATTTAACATTTTTATTCTGTGTTAGATACAGTGGGTGTAGAATGTTTTCGTACACCGATCAATTTACCAAAAAACTTTTGTGTGAAATTGTAGTTTCTTGACTCTTTTTTTATAATCAATGATATTTTACATATTCTCGGAAGTCTCTAAGGTAGATATAGTCCAAACAACATTTACTAATTAATATAATTTGTGAAATTAACAAAAAGATGCGAAAAGTGGGTAAAAGTATAGAAGCAATAAGTATTTGTACGATTCTTATGACGAACCATTTACGGTAGAGTTTGTAACGTAAACACGTTAGTTTATTGCTCCGTACGAATTAGAAAACATCATATTTCCAGTACAGTACTTTTAAACAGCTGTGCGAATATTTATTGCTTCAACATTTCTATCGATTAATTGTTTTTTTTCTTGTTAATTTCGCAACTTACATAAATAGCTATTTCTTTTTGTGATCTATATATTCTAGAGATTTCCGAGAATATATAGAATGTCGTTGTTTATAACAAATAAATTAATAAATTACAGTTTTACATAGTTTTTTTGGAAATTAATCGGTGTACGAATACTTTCTACACCCACTGCACCTGATGATTATAAGCATGGGAGATCCACTCTCACCGCCAGCCTCGCGAGATAACTGATCGGTCTCCTAAAAAAACGACAAAATAAATTCCGTTATGCGAGACATGAAGGAATTAAAACGTTTCTTGTTAGCTGTCTACAACATCCAGACTAGCCAACGTTGCTCGAGTGAAAGCGAAAGGTGTCCGACCAAGTATCCAGTATTTTTTAAGAAATGAGAAAAAAAAAGGCGACGAAACGAACGGTTGAAAAACGCATTAAAGGAACTTTTACGGACATAGCGAATCATTCTCGTTGCATACAGGGAATCCCCCTTTAACCTTCAATTGTGAAGGAGAAATATTCGTTCGTAAGGTCGGGCAACGCTAAAATTGGGGCACGGCATTGTTTCTCTTTAAATTTATTCCAAAATACTGCGATTTATTGGAGGCACAACAAAGCGGCGCGGTACGCCGAATGAATTAACCAGATTCCATTTCGGATCTTATAGCGCAGTCGAACACGCCTATACGCGGCATAACAATGCGAGTTTTGCGTGGAAACGAGGTTAAAGAAAGGGGAATGCAAGTCGAATACCGAGAGAACCCCGACGCGTGCAAATTTCCGCCCCACCGAAGCAAACACTCATTCATGACTTCCTAGAAATGTTTATGATAAATAATATCACGCTGCTCTTTAACCGAATTAAGTTAAACTTGTTAATGGATTTGTTAAGCTCTATATTAAGAAAATTCAACATAGACCTAACGTTTAGAGTAATAACGTAGAGTAATTCATAATTCTATTCATTATCGTGTAAAAGGTGTTGTAAATAGTTGCATTCAATCAAAATTATATTTGTTATAGAATCCTTTCTCGTTTTACAAGCTTATGTGAGACGTTAAAATTAAAACACGTCCTTGTATTAAGAGAATAATTACAGACCATATCAATTTTAAAATGTGGGCACTAAAATCGATAGCCATCTAGCGGTGAACAACCCGAAATAATTTATCGACCTTTAGACAGCGCCTCTATCGGGAAAACGCTCAAGTTTGTCGAGAAATAATTCAATTTTGAACTACTAGATGGCGCCACAAGGTTCGAGTTACCGACTGTAGTTATTTGTATATTTTACCAATTGTAGTTATTTGTATATTTTACTTTTTTTTTGCATAAATACGAACTCTAATGTCGTATCAATAATAATGCGCAATAATTTGAACATATTGCCATCATCTGTGATAGTCAATTTCTTTAAAGTTTCATTGCGTGAAATAAACGGCAGAAAACGCTGTCTTAGAGACATTGTAATATATTAATACTTGTAGTACTATTAGAAGTTTAATATTGAATGTAATAAAATAATTTAAATAAATATAACTTAATGTCGGTATTCATAACAAAGTGGTGGCATCTAGCGGATTGAATTTAGAATTATTCCTCAACAAACTTGGGCGTTTTCCCAACGATAACGCAGTTTAGGTCTAAACATATACAGGGTGTCCCAAAAATGTTGTAACACCTTGAAAGGGGTGGTTGGGGGCGTGATTTGAAACAATTTTTTCCTTAGCGAAAATGTTGTCCGAGGCTTCGTTGAGGAGATATTAACGGAAAACACTGACCAATCAGAGCACGCGTATACCGGTGGAGCGGCCGCGGTAGCGTATGAGCGCGGCCGCTTAGTGCGTAGCCTTCGCTCCACCGGCATCCGAGCGCTCTGATTGGTCAGTGTTTTCCGTTAATATCTCCTCAACGAAGAGTCGGACAACATTTTCGCTAAGGAAAAAGTTGTTTCAAATCACCTCCCCAACCACCCTTTTCAATGTATTACAACAATTTTGGGACACCCTGTATACATAAATAACAATTAGAAACAAGACGTTTCTAAGAGAAAGTCACCAACTCTGGCACCAACCACACACTTCTACTTCGAGTAAGCGTTTTGGTTGGTGTTGAAATCAGTGATTTTCTTTTATAAATAAAATCACTTTGGCCAGTTATAAAAATAAATAGGGACTTTGAAAACATCCTATATAAATATAACGTAAGAGTGCGTCAATTACTTTCGCGATAGCATTTAAAAGGAACTGTCAGTTGTGTTGAGATTAAATGCACGTAACGCATTTCGTCATGTTTACCTTTTTCATAAATATAAACAAAATAGTGAAAGTATATTGCTGACTAATAATTATACAAATATTACGATACGATTTCTCAACAAGGGGATTCACAAAAAATGGGTTGTTATATCGGAAATGATGATCGTTGATCGATGCCTATGTTTATCAACTAATTTTAATGAACAGACGAAATTGCAGACGTAAAGATTTATGTACGAGCAATGATACTTTTCTGATAATATTAAACTACTAAAATATGTAACGATCTAACCTAATGTAAATATCTTATGAAAACTATTAATCTAATTATTTTTCATTGTGAAACATTTTTTTTACACTACATCTATAATATTCCCTTCTCCGTGATGTAAATACATAACATTTACGTTTATTCCTTGTATATTATCTTAACTTATGCAGAAGATCGAAATTGCAATTATAACTTTAGTGACTGTTAAATTGTGTAACTGATACTGCTCTATTATGAGTGATATGGATCATTCAGAGAACTTGGATGACGATAAACATAGTTCATATTATGCATTACGAGTTGCATTAAAAACCATGAAAGAACGTTGTCGACAATTAGAAACAAGGTTAACTATCGTCGAAGAAGAAAATATGTGTTTGAAGATTGAATGTGCTAAAAATGAGTCTACAGCAATTGTGAAAGTCAATGATAATAATGAGAAAACTATTGTACAAAACTTAAAGGTTTATATATTTATATTAATGTATAAAGTATTTGTACTTTACACTTTTATGCATTATACTTTAATACAGTTTGGTTGACAGGAAGAAGTAGAAGAGCTTACGAAACAGAAGTCTCAACTCACTCATCAAATTTTTATGGTAGCAGCAGAAAATCGCCAATTATGGAAAAGATTAACAAAATTAACAAGAACAAATAAATCATTAGGAAGCCAATTAACGAAAATCTCTGATACACTTAAACAACATTCTCCAGCTCAACCATCTGAGATTGTGTCCTATAATTTTGATGGTGTTTCTCATACCACAAAACAGGAAGATGGTAATGAACTGTTAACTACAAGTAATGATTTATACTTGATTATAGAATACCTACTAGATGTAACAAATGTATAAAACTTTACATTATATTTGTACTTTTAGGTGGAAGGGAACAGAGTTTAGAGGAAATATCATTAAGGCTTATAAATAGCATTATGTTAGAAAAGTCTGATCTTGAACAACAATATGCAGAGGTAAGTAAATAATACCATAATAAATCTATTAAATTTATAAGGCATGTGTACTTAGATTTCATTGTTATATAATTAGATGGTTGAACTACAAAACAATACTGAATTCAATTTACAAAATATTGGTTTCACTTACCCAGAGGATTCGGATACAGATTTAGAATTACTCAAACAACATGATGTTAGATTGACTCAAATGAGAAATACTTTATTAGCGCAACAAACTAAATTAAAAAGAGCACTGCAGCATTTTAAAAAAATGAAAGAAGGTAAGTACAATACAGCAAGCAAGTGTTTATTACCCACACAACGAAGTATTGTCAACCAAAATAGAAATATTAACTTTACAGGAGCTATGTGTAATATTTGTCGCATGAACGCAAATAAAAAAATGTGCCAAACAGGCACACAATTTGATTCTGATGAAAGTTTTAAAGAACATGGCGCAACTCAAACCAGCCTACAAACGTCGAGTTTATGTTTAGACAAATGTTCCAACTCCACGGATAATACAGAACAAGTCAATAGAATTTGTCCATTATGTGGATTATTTTATGGGAAAGCTACTTTGTTTATAGAATTTCATGAACATGTGTTAAGTCACTTTAGTAAAGACGCATCAAGCAGTTTTGAAATTGTTCACTAATAATTGTTGGAGATACGGGTACTTGTTATGATTTTGTAATTTCAATTTGTTTGCAAATTTTGCATATATGCTATTTTAAAAACAGATAGGACATATAAATAGTATACATATTATCTGAAAGTGGGGTAACTAGGCCAGGGTTAGAAGTGTTATCGATTACTGAATTTTATAAGCTATTGATCTAAATAGTATTTACGGGTAGCAAATAATCATCATACATGGAAATGCAATTTGAATAAAGAGAGTTAATATACAAATAGTGAATACGATTGTTTATGAAAACAGAGAAGTACAATATTGTGAAGTTACCTGCAATTGTAATAGTAAATTTAAACAATATATCAATTATTCTTTTAAGTTTATTTAATACAAACAAAATACCTTGCCAATGTAAAACCTTCTCGATTTTTTATTTAAGGCAAATCTTTAGTTTTTACATCTTCTGAGTCAGATGGTTCTTTTGCTGTAGATTGTAGTAAATTCTGATTAAACCATTCAGGTCTTTTCTTAGGTAATTCAACGATTCTTTGTTTCTGTATCAAAATGATTATGCATTATATATCAGACATACATATTAGTTTCTGTGTCAAGTACACATTATAATTAATAGTATAAGTAAATTGAGTACCTTCCAAAACTCGTCTGACATATGTTTTTTTTCTCCTTCATATAATACAACAATGTTTTCCTCTACTGGTTGTAATCCCAATTGATTTTTTATAACTTCTTGAATTTCCAGTGTTTCCTTTTTTACTATTTCATAGCAATATCCTATACAAATTTGACAAAATGTAAATTGACATATTCAATGTTCATTACTCATATATGTAAATATTTTAATATTTAAAATCATATTAGATGTTTTACCGCAAAGAGTGCCAGCCTCGTAATCATGACCACATTTTCTGCACATTAAAATATTAGTTTTGGGAACATGCGGCTTCCAATTATATTCAGGAAAACCGAATTTTCTGTTAAGTCGTTTTTCAACAGATCGACGGCATTTAGGTACAGCCCATAAAAATCCATCGTTCAAAATATCTTTTAAAGATCGTTTAGAACCATTACTAGGCTGTACTTGATTCATCACATGGTTACAATCGATTGCACACAATCCTCCTGAATAAAGGTAAATAATATTTTATGACTATAGCGTTAAATATAAAATATTTGACAATTGCTTATAATTAATTTCAATTTATCATAATCTTCAGAGGTTAGGAAAGTTAACAACATAAAATCTCTTATTTTTAAAGTGTAATTACACAATCAAATACAATTATAATATACGTTACAAATAAGTAACGTTACTGTTTTTACCTGGTGGGAAACCTCGACCAAGAATAATATCAATTGCTTGCTCAAATGTTTTAAAAGCACGAGATAACCTACTCATAAGACCGCTCGCCATGTTTAAAGGCTAGCATAGATCAGTGTGTGTACATATACAACAAAACACAGATAGAATAGCACGTGAGATTAAGGATGATTCCCATTTATGCAGTAATTTCTAAACAATTCTGCCCTGTCATTATATATTACTCTCGTTGAAATTATACTCTAAAATAGATGATAAAAGGTTTATTTTAAATTATACGAAAGTACATATAGGGATTAATAAGAAGTCTGTAAAATGTAACAAAGTTTGAATGACAAAATTATGACACACATTTTACATTAGATGTCGCTAACAATCGATTTATTTAGCGTTCCTTCGAGATAATACTTTCTTCGTAAATTATTCGATGGCCAAAGTCTTTAATTATTTTGAATACAGCTCCGATTAATGCCGTGCACAGCAGTTGTGTTTACAAGTGGGGAAGGGAAAAGTGGGTGGGGGAGTGATTTTGAAGTATCGGTGGGGACTAGCGGAACTCGAAAGTCTCCACGAGTCGTGTGACTCGCCTCACTACAGTTTTCGCTATGGCGTGTATAGGGTCGAGTAGGCTCTGTGCTCGTGCAGAGAAATTGTGCCAGTTCGGACATTTCGCCCAATTACGAAGGAAAGTTTCAACGACATGTGTCAAGTCACGACCCAGAATCGACCAGCAGACCAGTGCTTTGGTTCAACATTGTCAGGTACGTTAATTTCGTTTTACAGTGTAGTTGCCAATGCACAAGGAAATCTTATCTACGGTCAACATAGCTTTGTCACTGTATTCACAAATTATTTCTGAGCTTACAGAGCATAGGTACTTTACAACACGCCCATAAATTCTTTCTATTTCATTCATCTTTGATGGAATATCGCGAATCATCCGCATGTTGTTGCCGACATAACCTACATTCGCTTCAAGTTTAAGAATCTTTTTTCGCTATTAATCATTTGGTTTATCGTGTCGATTTCCGCAAGGATTTCGAAAAAAGAGTATAAAATAATTTGTCAGTGTTGATAAAATGTGTAAAATAGACGATTGTATCCGACTTTGTAGACTTAGTAAATTACATAATGTCTCGGTACGTGTCGGTAAATTGAGTTACTGTATCGAGGAAATTTAGTGTGATATATTGAACGTACAAAGACTATTTTTGTTATGTACATGCGCGTGTTGCAATTCTAATGACAGATCCACGTGACAATAAATGGAAAGTCACTCCTGTAAAAGACTGTCAGTAAAGTTTGCGTGAAACCACGTTTTTGTGCGGTCGAACTGTCAGCTGTTCCTAGCAGACGACCTAGTTGGCGTCTGCTACAGACGTAGTTCATATTAACACCTATAAAACAGCATCACGTTAAAAATGTTAACAATTTCTTAGCGAAAGTATTTTCTAAAATCAATATTTTAATTATTATTAACTGTGTTTGTTGTAATATTGGATGATTGTACCTGGAATATTATTTAAACTTTCTATTGACTGGGCAAGCGACGCTTGACCGCTGCACGCATGCGCAGCGAACGAATTTGAATCCATTTTATACATCATGTGTAATATCTATTAAAGTAAATTCTCAATCTTTTCAAATTCGACAATTGTATATGTGTACACGGTATTTCAAAATTAGTAATTTTATTATATATAACATATGTTTGTACATGTATTTCATTTACGTGTGTATATTTATGAAAATATGCAATCTAAAATCTAGATCTGTTTTAAAAAATTCATAACTTTGCAAATATTTTTATTTAACTGTTATAAAGATGTAATATCCTTTTCATAGTATATTATATACTTTTCTACAAAGTAAAATAGAAGTTCTTATAAATGCACAATGAGATTTGCATGTTCTTTTTTTTCGATTAACCTTGTGCTACGAAGTCCCCGTTTACAAATGGAGCAAATAAATATATCAACGAAGAAAAAAAAAAAACGAAGTAATTGTTTCAGATACATATTCAGAACAGAGCCTACTCTGTTATAGAATATTAACCTCTCGCCAACAGTTTCTAATTCCATCTGAATTTCTAAGCACCTTAATGGCCTCTAACGAAAGTTTTCCATAAATTGTTCGACGAACATCCAAACGAATTGCACGACTTTCACTGCTGGAAAGTGACACGGAGACCGGATTTTGAAATCTTCTTTCGATAGCTCGCGATTCGCTGACGTTGGGTTCGGCACATCGACGGACGGCTAATCGTCCTTAGTTATTACGCAAGTCTTAGGTAAACGATGGCTCGCTGGACAGGGCGTTGCTTGAGCGGAGATTCTGTTTCTCTATTTTTACGGCGACGATAGTCAATATTATCGGTAAGAGCGAGAAACCGGTCGCTGAGGGCAACGCGACGAATTTCAAGTCTCGCTTCTCGTAAGTAGGCTAACTGGCCCGTGAGATATCCTTCTTCGAGCATGGTTAGCCCATGGAATCCACGCTCTTGACTTTCTCGGCTCGTTCAGCTGTGCCCCGCGTGTATAGATCTCTTACACACGGATTCACCTACGAATCGAGACCCACTATAGAGCATCTACGTTTTCTACGATTTTCTACAATTTATCACTGGGTTTCGTACTCTTTAGGATACCTTCTCACGTCTTTTTTTTTAAAAAAAAAAGGAACATTTTTTCATTCGAATTTTATAGGCAGACAATATTGCGTGTGCTTTATTCTGCGCAGGATAAATGAGTGCATCCACGATCTAGAAAATGTAGATTTACACCGGCTGTTACGTGTACACGGAATACAGAGCATGATTTATTGGATGAAACGAGCGATATATTTAACCTCTTCAGAATTAGTTTCAAGTTTTGTGTAACTATTACATTTATGGGTGTATATTCATAAATAAGTTTCTCAAGTATATTTCACGTCAGTGTTAACTAAATTAAAAGTGTAAGAATAATAGAGATAAAAATAATCGTGATTTTATTGTGTCCTGAAGAAGGTTTAGAACCAGCTACAAATATCTTCCTTGTTAATGCAAATGTACGGTCATTAACATCGTCTGTTTGCAACTTCCTTGTTACAATCATCGCTCTCCTTGAGTGACTTCAATGCTTGGTAATGGTATCATTGTCAAACGCAGATCGTGAACTTGGATACAAAGCGCAAGGAAGAAAGAAATGGCGCCTAAATTAATTGGCGCATTAATTCCTAATTATGTCATATTTCTAACAATGTCCTTTTTATTAAATTTTAGTCCATAATCTTTGGTGTTATGTTTTTGTTCCTCCTACTTTTATGATCATTGCGTTTTTATAACCCATTTAACCCATGCTAGAGCTCCGATTTTGTGCAAAAAATGCCGACTTGTCATTGAAACTGTCTGAAACTGATTTTTAATGCAAATATAAGGTCATTAACATCGTCGATTTGCAAGTTCTGTTTCATAGTCGTCCGTCTCCATAACTCGCGTACAATAAGGAAGATTTCCTTCATTGACGCACGGCGTTTGTGCTTTTGGCATGTCAATTCTCGCCAACGTTCCACGTGCGTACGCACGCATAGGAATGCGTGAATAGTTTTACAATTGCGATTGTTGTTAAATTACTGCGCACTGTACTCGACGAGCCGGTGCGCGAATCAACATAGGAAACTCTCCAGTTTCGTTTCAGAAACCATAGAACGTACACTTTCGATACCAAATCAACCACGAAATGATGGGACACCCGATGTATTTGGTGATTAGGAATAAAATGTTCACTTTCGATGTAAAAGACGATGACCTTTGTAACTCTTGCACACCTATAAACTTACTGAGGGATAAAGACATACATTATACCACAAATTCGTATTCATATTTAACAAAAAGTATATGGAAATTTTCTTTCTAAGAAAAGATCGTAGAAAAGGTGATTACATTTTTTCACAACATTTGAATATTTATTTGAATAGAAGAACAAGTAGCATAAACATGTAAGACGACCCAGTATTTATTCAAAGTCTTTTTACTCCATTTTGTGAGTTTTACGAGCAAAACACGATCACGTACCTGTAATTCGAATGTACTCTGTGCTTTTATCGAGTACTCTGACCAGCCATCTAGCTGTTTCTTTCAATACCACATCCGGTTACTTGTTTTTGATATTTCGTTGAATGTGCTTCGCTCAAAGCTGTTGCAATTAAGAATACTTGCTTTTCAAGGATGAACGTGGCACGTTTTCTCGTCCAAAAAATATTTTATATATATGTATATTACTTTCACTGATAATAGTTATATCGCTCCCGCGGTTAGCTCATCGCAAATGACCGCGAACATGCGCTCCTGACATTTACGAACCTTCACTTCGTGAGTTTTTACAGTTTAACCTTTAACTGGTTTTATACTCGTGTACAATTTTTTTTCCGGAGCGTAGATTCGATCGTTACCATCTTTCAATTCTTATTCGTGCACTGTATTAAACAAAAAGTTAAATTTTAAGCGCGTAAAGAGCATTCCTTTTCGTTTAGTTAAGAAAGTAGTAGCAATGACTCAAAGGTTAAATTTATTTAAAATATTCTCTAAGATCGTTTTACCATAGACTCGAAAATGGCCGGATTGTGTCATTTCGGTATGTTTGCATATTCAACGATTGAAAATTATTTAATCCGTTTGCCATTTTGAAACGCTTTCTCTTTTTCAAAGTTACGTAAGACGAGCGTTGTATTAAATAATGTTTTACACAAGAATTCTATTTTCAATCAAGTTTAATTCTTAATATTCGGCGAATTCCTTATACTCGAGTACTTGGTTGCAAAATGTTAAGAAAATTATAGAATTCTCTGTTGTTTAATATACAATTTGTTCAATTTTTGGAACATATCATACCGTTGGTTGTTCTGGATTCTTTTTATATTTATTTCTACGTTATTGCAACGCAAGAATTTCTTATCTATTCTACTCTATTAATTATAAACAAGTCCCGGAACAAAAGAGTATACTTGAATATATCGCTCAAGATAGTTACATCTAATACAAGTTTCTGATATAAATAAAAACAGTAACTTTTCATTCACGATTGTTAATCGTAACGGACAGTGTTGCTCAATGGAGATTAATCGACGTCCACGCGAACGGTCAATTACTAGGACAGTCGTCAATTATGCTATAAGTGGAGATATTATAATCACACGTGTATTGGAATATCGATATATAATCAGGTGTCCAGGTGTCTCAAGTACGACGACTCTTTCTATGTTTCCAAAGGACAAAAAAGCGACGAAGCACACACAAAAAATCGATCAGAGATCGTTTAGGGCAGTGTTTCTCAAACAGCGGTCCTCTGGGGGCTCTACGAAGAGAACCTAGACGAAATAGAAACTTTTTTCAAATCAATGCAACAATTGTTTACACCTCGTTACGTTTGGATTGTCTATTATTTTTGGTTAGTCGATTGATCAAAATTGTTTTTCATTTGCAACATATTCATCACTTTCTATTCCACTTCTGTTAAAAAATCTTTCGTTTGCGATAGGATAATTTTATCTTTTCATGAATTAATGAAAATTTGCTCGTTCAGTCAGAAATTAAGTTTTATTATTAAATAAATTCTGAGAAGACCCACATGAGAATGGTATAATTGTTCACGGTTATTTGTTTGCATAGCGAACGGTGTAAATTAAACATTGTGAACATTCCACCAGATTCTACTGATTCCACCAACAGGTGTCTTTTCATCGAGAGGCCCATAGTTTGAGATACACTGACCAAAAGGCTACT